TACTGGGCTGCAAAATATATAAATTTTAATAAGCTTTTTTTCTCTTTTTTTTTAATATGCAAAATTATTTTCACTAAGAAGAGTTTCTCATTTTAGGTGTACTAAAAAGAAGAGCACTCGTACTACAAATTTGGAAATGCTTTTATAATTAACAATGTAAACTACTGTGGAATACTTTACTTTCGCTGGAATTAATTTTCGCTGAAAAGGCTTTTTAGCATTTATTATGGAATTTATTTTCACTGATTTTTGATGAGTTGAAATGTGAAATATAGGAAAAAAAGTATATTCGCTGGATTTTATTTTCATGGAATCATCCCTTCAGCGAAAATAGCGAAAATAAATTCCAAGCGAAAATAAAGTATTCTACAGTATTTCACAAGGCGAGAAATTTTCATTAAATTTCAAGGCAGGGAAACTCCAAAATTTTGTAAACAGTCAACTATGGTCGTTCGGACAAAGTGTCATCAAAATATGAACATTTCTAACAACAAAAATATATTGATTTACAGTAATTTGCATAAGCCCCATTTCTTTTTCTTTTTTTGTTAGACTCATCAGAGAATCAGCCGATTTGCTCCCTTGTATGTTTGAGTCTCTTGATGAATGTTTTCATCTGTAAAATGTTGTGTTGTAGGATTTGTAGTTTTTAGTCATGCATATGTATCATATCAGGTGTCGGCTTAACTGAGTGTAAACGTTAATCCCTAAACACCTCCTTACGGCCACCCGAGAGTTTTAGCAAAAAGTCTCATTTCCATAGCGGAAACCGAAAAACAAACATGAGCATAAAAAATTCACACATTTGTCACTTGTATTATGTTACTCGCATATTTTCATTTTAAAACAGACTTTGTATTATTAAGTGGTATATATTTCACAATTTTTGTTGTTGAAAGACGTTTGCCATAAAAATTAAAATCTCCCACAATTTAAAAAAAAAAAACACACAAAAAAAAAATGCAAAATATCATAAATTCTATTATACATAGTTGTATTTTACTTAGAAAAAAATTTCTGCATTGTCAGTGTTTGAAAATTATACTGATCGCAACATTTGGGAAAAAAATAAAAAATAAAAATCATGCAATGAGTACATCCTTCTATAAAAAGTACTTTTTATCACTAAAATCATGGAAATATTTTGATATTTTATTCATTAAATGGACAGAATGTTGGATACAAGCTAATTAATGCATTTCAGGGAGAAAACGACATGTTTCTGTAATATACCACAGATATGGCTACAAGACGTTAATAATCCCGACAGATTTGGCAGTACACGAGGGACTTTGCTTAACCACAATTTGAGTCATCAGTACGGCTTATTCTTCAGTCTTTCGTACTCTCTCCGGGGATGGGCCCATCTTAATACACTGCATGCAGAAAAACGTATTCGTAATTCTGTAAAGATTTCTGCACATCGCGCTTCGCATAAAAACTGTACTACTCAACTAGAATTCCCACTGGAAGGAGGTGGAATTTTTATGCTGGATAAATCTATTATGTGTTCACATTTTCTTTTTATATTTCAAATTTTCACGTTGCACCTGCAGTACAGAGAGTGGGTGGAAGCTAAGATGATGTACAAGCACTCTAATATTTCTTGTAACATCACTTCACTAGATGAGTGGGGGATGCTTGCGATAGAATAGTATTTTTTTAGTATTTTAATTTTTTTCAGATCAACTTTGTGTTCTATTTTACTATTTTACAAATTAAGAATAAATGTCTCTTTTTCATGTATTTTAGGAGAGACTGTGAAAGAAGTTATTAATTTTTTTTGGTGGTATTTTTGTGGTATATTTTTTTTTTTGCTGTTCTACTCATTTTTCCCTTAATAAAGAATAGTGATGCAAGTTGTTTTCTCTTGTTGACAGAAAAAACAAGGACACTGTTTGATTCTTTCCAATTATTTACATCCAAAGATAGTCTCATTTATTTTTCAAAATACATTAAATTTTTAGTAAAAATTACAAATTTGAAGAAAATACACTCATAAATTGGCACCATAATGTGCACATTCATAATAAAATCAGAAATCAAAATGGCTCCAACAATTTCTCTGAAACAGCGCCCTCAACGTACTATTAATGAAACGGAAATGAAAAAGTAGAAACCAATGAATATTTACTTGCATTAAAAAGCGAATATTTAACGAAGACAAAAGAACACAGCTTGTGGGGTTTTCATTCCAGTGTTCAATGAATAATGCATGATCATGAACACAGCCCGCAGTACGCAAGATCATCCGTGGTTTTTATTATTACTGTGAATGAATAAGTTATATAAGTAATTCGACAAATGTCATTTGATTCAAGAAAAGGCTATTAATAGGAAATGCAAGACACAAAAGAAACCATACAGTCTGATGGAATTATTTAGCAAGGGCAATCTGAAGTTCTACTTGCCTAGAAACTTAAAAGGTATCTTACCCAGAGAATCAATGCAGTATGTTACATTTTTTATTAGGAACTGCTTGTTTCAATTCCGAATCAATGATGGCTGATCTACGTCCATTCTGCTCAAGCAATAAAACATGAACAGCGTTCACCGTCCTCAACTCGAGGCAATTACAACAAGAGTACTGTAAAATTAAAGTATGTAATAATGCACAAAAGTAACTCCGAGATTATTATCAAGATTTCTGTGATTTTCAATGTTTGTTTCTTTCAAGATTAGAGTTTTGAATATTTCGAACAAAGTACATAATATAAAATAAAGAAAAAAACTGTTAAACAGATTTATCTCATCAATTATGCATAAAGCCAACACCAATTTTTATCCAACATCAGTTGTGCAACAAGAATTCATTTTTTTCCACTATTGGAAGAAATTCTTTTCTACAATTGAAAGTTAAATTTTTATAAACTTCCCATAATAGTCACTATTCTTGCGCAAGGCTATTCTACAATCATTAGAAAACTCTCAAATGTAACAATAGACTACAAATATTTTATATTTAGGGACAATTTTTTAAGTTATTAAAACCAAAAGAAGAAGACAACGATGACAAATATTTGACTCGAAAAGCCTTTTTTTTAAAAAAAAATAATATTTTCATTCATTCTTTATTCAGAGAAAACTCAATTGCACGAAATATAAATAAGAAAATCGTATTTATAAAAACAAAATTCCATAAAATTTGGGTCAGAGCACACAAGGAGATTCAATTCCTCAACTTCCCATCACTGACGGCAATAAAAACGTTACCCGAGTAAAGTAATAAGCATATATCTGTCCATTAAATGTGATTAAAAACATCATATTCACGTTTTGCAGCCTAATCTATAATTCAGTCCCCGAGTATTATAACAGTCAAATTAAATTTTGTAAACCTTTCAACTTGACAATGCGTGAACAGGTCAATAGATATTTTCAGCGTTTGGTGCTTTGTTTTATTTTCAGTTGCAAACAATGGGGAATAAATAATTAATCGCCTCGGCAACGATGAGTACGGCACTATTCAAGTTACAAATCCTGTGGGGTGCCTGTGATAGACACTCATTAGGAGTAAAAAATAGAAATGGCAGGAATGGGAAATGTATGTTTCTAGAAATACGTGAACGAGTACAGCAATAGCGCAAAAAAAACAAAAACATGTTGCTATAAATGACAAGCCAATGAAAAGGACAATATGAATACAAATCACAACATGAGTGGAAGGAAGCACAAAATTGTTTTGCTAAAATCCACCAATTACTATTTAGCAAGA